AAAAATCAAGATTTATTTCGATTTTTTATGACTTATTGACTTCTTCACACAAATAAATCACAAAATTTTCTCCATTGTGATGTGTTTGTGAAAATATTGGAAGTGAATGTGATTTATGGTGGAAGTGCACACGTGGTGGAACAATTCTCACGGTGGGCATAATTGAACTAGAGGATAAATAACATAAAACGAAAATGGGAACTTGTGGGTGACCTGATAAATATCGTAGGTCATCGAGGGTAGTTGTAGTTTCATAGGGGATATACGTGCCCAACAAAATTATTTGGAATCGCTCTACTTAGAGCACCTACATTTTATGATAAAAACGGTTAATTCTTTTTACATTTATCTAAACGGTGAGAGTTCAAATAAATAGCAGAATAATATGGCCTACTTTATGGGTTTAACAATGTTAATTTAATAATAAACTTAAGAATATTCAGAATATTTAAAAAGATATTTTAAGTGTATTAAAATATATTAGAGTACTAAAAACACATAAAAATACAGTTCACTAATTCACAACTGAGGAAAGCCAAATAAAATGAAATTTAAATAAATATTTCTTCATCAACATAATTTAAAAAATGTAAATATTAAAATTCATAAATTCACACTTGCATAAACCTGTTCCCGCCATCTATCGTTTCTTGCATTTCTTAATCCTTTGGCACAATGCACCGAAATCTAAGCAGAATCGGTTTTGATTTATATCCACACAAACGAGAAGACAAACATGGAACTGCATCTCGAGCACACAAAAATGATTTGATTTATTATGAATTTCGTTTTCAAGTTGAAAGTAAAAATCTTGAACTGCATTCGGGGCTGCGGGGCAAACTAAACCTATATGTATGTATATAGGAATCGTTGGACGGTTCGATTCCAGATCGACGACAACAATGCGAGCTCATAAATAATAATTTGAGAGAGTGCCGAGCAGAACGTTGGGAATCTAAAAAGAAGAAGGCCGTGCCCGGCCCGGTCGGAACTGTAAAAACAGGTAACCTTCAAGATACAGATACAATGGATGCAGACAGCGAGACGTGGATAAAGCCAAAAGTCATGTACTGCGACTCCAGCGGCTTAGCGTCTCGAGTTCAAAGTCAGATAATGGACTATGGAGATGCGATGCGATGCGATGCGTTTGCCGAGATATGCGCACCAAATTGCCACTGCGAAGGACGCATATTAATTTTTATGACCGTACAAAATGACGATTGCATAACCTACCGCCAGGTGACTTCGACTTCCTAATGGCCGTTTGATTTTTGCTGGAAAATCCTCGATTTATACGACCTCCTGACAAGTGACAAAAAGGAAAAGTATCATAAAAATCAGCAGGTTTTCGCTTTCGGTTTCAGTTTCAGTTTCGGTTAGTTGTTGTTCTTGCGTTTTCAAGGACACTTTGGGCATTAAAAAATGAGATTCTTTTGCAAATTTCTGGAAGGTGTTTGCGAGTTTAGGTAGTTTGGTTTTAGGAATTTCCCTTAGTTTCGTGAATTTTCATTTCGTTTCCTGCCGCTTTTGGAGAGTGTTCTGCATTTTGGTGTGCGAGTGTTGTTTTTTAGTTTTCGAGTTTTGAGTTTTTGCGTTCCTTGTCGCGTATCTCTTTGCCATAAATCATTGTCACCCGCTTCGGCGCAATGTCACTGCGAGCGCTTCCCGCTGGGTTTCTGGCCCCGACCCTAAACCCTCGCCGAACACCTACTCCCCGCTCCGATTTCGGACTCCCTCTTCCTACCATGAACCTACAAAAAAATATATATAAAACAGTTCGAGGCGCTGACTGCTTTTGGGCTAAAAAATAATATAGCAAGTCTTTCTCTCTTTCTTTCCCTTTTTGCCATAGCCGAAAACGAATTGCAGTCACTGCAAATTACCACCCAAGAAAATTGGTTTGGGTTTGAGTTTTGTCCAAACGCAAGGACATGCTGATTTAGTCCTTTTTTCAGCAGCTGTATCAGAAGTTTACCTTCTATAATGCAACCCATTACAGCTATGAATAATGGTCTGAACCATTATTCTTTGATTATGAACATTATATTTAAAATGTATAAAAATAAAAAAAATGTGAAAATCAATAAATTATTAAGATTAAAATTAATATTTCTTTTACATTTATTTTACTCAACATCGACAAAGTCATGGAAAATTAAGAAATTGTGAAATATAATGAATTTTTTCAATCCTTTTAAATTAACAGTCAGCTTCATTTACTTTACAAATCAAGTCTGTCAAGGTCTGGCTTTTTTGAGAACAACATTGGCATTAAAAATAAACATCATTGTTTTCCAAAAGAAAAATCAGGGCAAAACTCATACAAGTAAAACGCATTTAAAAACGTGGAAGCATTATTTATCAAATATAAATTCTTAAATGTGCAACTTTTGAATAATTTAAGGTCCCAGAGGTAAAACGATAAAAAAAAAGTCAAAGTCCATAGTTTCCGCCGTCCTATCAAGGTTTAGTTCTCCAGGGTCTAAAAATATTTTCAATGCATCTCGAACCAAGCCATTTTTCGCGATCTTAAAACAAAAAACATTTTTAAATTACCGTTTCTGTTTTTTCTGTAGTCTTTTGAATGTGTTTTATGTGTGTGAAATTTAGGTTTTTTTTCGAAGCGGTTTTTTTGTTTTATTTAAATTTGCTTGGGCTTGCATATGATTAATTAGCCGTTTCATGTCGCCATCTATCAATGGGGGCTTAAAATATAATTTTAATTTCAAATCCAAGCCAAACAAGTTTTCTTTGTGGCCCGGCAGTTTTTGTTCAAGCTTTTTGTTAGATTTGTTTTATTAACAACAATTTCGTTTACTTTTGTTGCTTGGTTTTTAGCTTTCGGTTGAATCTCTGAGGTCGTGATTAATGTTTTTACAAAAGAGTTGTCGCCATTCGTATGCCGACTTATAAATCTTTTTGTGACTTTGCCATGAGTGTGAACTTGATTAAGAATCCGTTTAAAAGGAAGGGCTTACTCATGGTTTTTATTAAAGGAATTCAATATTATATGTTTTAAAAAATGAAACATCTTTGTAAATATATATACAGTCGAAAAAACAACATTCGTAAATATGTGAAAATAATATCTCTGATGGAATATGTGATTTTTCCATAAATATTTAAATGTTTTCCCCCAATCCTTTGGACCACTGCATCAGTGGATTTTTGTGTCTGACACTGGGCCATAAATCATAAAAGTTTTTGCAGGGCAAACCAGAACGGAGTTTATGATTTTGTCAGCTGTGTAACATTTCCAGCTGATTAAATCGATAAATTATGAGAAAATAATTTCATTTGATGCCAGTCTATTTGATTGCTCGAAAATCGAAGCTGGCAAAAATGCAAATGGAAATGTGTTAACAATAAAACCCAGGCAAAGTTCATTAAAGCCTATTGGAGACATCAGCAGAGATACTTGCTAAATAAGGGGACTTTTTAATGTTTATTAAATTAAGTATAAATTTTGCACTTTGGTCGGGCGCAAGTGCAATGAGAGAGCGGGAAATGGAGAAAGAGAGAGGTAGCCAGCGACAGATAGAGAGGACGACAAATATGTAAAGGCCAGACAACTAGGACAACAACAAAATCAGCAACAACAAGGACAATGCACTGCAACAATGGCCGCATAAATTTTCTATGCGGAGAACCCGAGAGTGTCCTGTTTGTGCGACTGTGTGCGTGTGAGTGTGTGTACGAGAGAAATGGCTGCCCTTTCCCACCATTCGGAAGTGAAACTATGTTGCCCAGGATATGTGCAATAATTCAAAAACGAATTCCAAGTTCAAAGCGCCCATTACTCGTGGCCAGTTAAGTTCGGAGCTCCGTTTTCAGTTTTCCAGCTTCAACTCCCGGGGATTCCCGAATCCCTCCAACTCTGTCCCTGCCTCTTTGCAAATTTATGCAAATGGCTAATAAGCCTGTCAACAGTTTGCAGTTTGCAGGCCAAATGAGTGATGACCTGGCTGTAGCATCCGAAAAACGCCCTTTGAGTTATGAAGTGTTGAATCTGAGTTCAGGCAAAAAACTTTTACTTTACCCGTTGCACTTTGAGAAACGGATGTAGTGTCATTTTCAAATTGGTTCTACGTTTTTAATTTGAACAGGATTTAGACACCTCAGGCATTCGATACATTTTATAATGATTTACGGTCGATGAACCGCCGACGGGTTGAATATATTGCACCCATTAACACCTATCGAAATTTATAATATTTGCAAAGAGTCATATAATACAGCTCAAAGCTTTGAAAACATTTTTAGATTATTAACAATAGGGTCTAAAAATTATATAAAATTGACAAGGTCACTCGAAGCTAAGGTTATATTTCTGATTTGTATTTATTTATTTAATTATAGTTAATTTATGTGACTGGTTAGGGCATATTCTTATAAAAGTTTAAAAAAGCAATTAAAAATAGTATTTTAGACAATAACAAATTTGAAATACGAAATAATAAAATCAAAGGTACTAATCCTAGAAATGGCTATTCTTCTATTTTGAAATATGAAAAACCCATTTCAAAATATATATGATGGATGTTATATTTAAAGAAAAATCTTTCCAGAAACATTAATTTACTTTTGTATTTAATTACTTTTACAGTTATGATATTTAAAATGCTAACACATTTTCGCTAAGCGAAACGGCTAAGCATTTTTAGGTAGTACTTCGAATTAAGTTTTTTAAAATATTGTTTCTCAATTTTTACCTTTAAATCAGAAAATGTGTCTAGCGATTTAAAATTAAATGTCCGTTAAATTAAGAACCAAATATATAAATTAAAGAACAAAATTATTCGATTTTGAAGTTTTTTAATTTAAAAAACAAGCTATTATGGCTATTCGTTTTTTGGAACTCGTGTAAAACTCTCAAATGGATTATCCCAATTGTCCAATTCAATTGTCTTATATTTGTATATTAACTAGAACCAATTTGTTTGAATTTTTTCTTCCTGTGCAGAAGTAAGGAAATTGAAAAGTCAAGCTCTGGCACTTACCTTTTAAATCCAATAACGTGCGCTTATCCTTCAATCCTGTTGGCTTTTCAAAATTCTCAGCTAACGGTAGCTTGCACGTGCGCCAAAATAAAAACTTTGCCCGCAGTGGAAACGAAACTTTTTCTTCTGCTTATTCTTTTTGTGTTTTATGTTTTTTTTTTTTTTTTTTTTGGCTGTCTACGTTTCAATTCTGTTGATTTCGTTGCGGTTAGAGTTGGAAGCTTTAGCTTTTGTTTGTTGTTAGTGTGTAGATATTGCTCGATTTGCGGGGGACTAGAAAACGTTGTTCTACAGATTCGAGTTTTCGGTGCACGATTTTTAAGAATAGATAAACACTTAGGTAGTAGGATTTGGCTTGATCAATTGGAACTCTCTTTTTGCAGCACAGTCAGCCCAGATCCATTAGTAATATTGCACAATTAGTGGGTGAATCCAGACACCTGCCAGACACTCGAACATCATAAAAAGAAACGCGCGCGAAGTTCAATTTCCGTGGGTGTTTGGCTTTGTTTTTGTTTTTATTTTCGTTTACGATTACGGTTATTATTATAATAATAATGGCTTTTATGACGATCTGCGCCGTACGAGGGCCAATGTGCGACTGATTGCGGTTCTAATTTTTTACGATTATTGTTATGATTATTTTTACGGCCTTTATGATCTTAGCGGGCTGTCAATTGGGATATGGCGCGTGGAAAGAGAGCGGTCGCGACGGCGAAGAGCGAGCGAATAGTTCCGACAGCCCCAAAGATACAGATATAGCCGTCTATACCTATACCGATATACCGAATACCGTTATGCTTCTGGGATCCACTCGCACACACACTCGCACGTGGGCTAAATCAGCGGTACACGGACGGGTCCTCGAGTGCTTTGTTGTGTGATGTTGATTTCTTTACGACTCCTATCAAACTAAACCCATAAAGCATTCAATTCAAAGCATATACATGTGAAAATCCCAGCGAGAACTCCTTATTAATCCAGCGACGTCGGCAGCGGGCCGTCGGCGGCGGCAGCGCAGTATATAAATAAAGTCTTATAAGAAACTCGTGAGCGAGAGAGCGATTTATTTATGTGCCGCAACGCCGACGGCGACTGCGACGCAGGCATCGGCGGAGGCAAAGACAGCGACCGCAGCAGAGCCGCTCTGCTCTGGCCATAAAGTATTTTGCGAAAAGAACCGTTCTGCTCTCGTTGCCATTTGAGTGACTGAGAGAGCGAGTGAGTTAGATGCGAATCGGAATAGAATTGAGAACTTGACCACGCGCGCATTCTCACATTCTCGCATTCTTTCGCCGGCGGTCCAGGTCCTTGAGTTCCCTTTTCAGAGCTCGCAATGCCATGCCGAGCAACGTTTTGTAAACTATAGAAGTCGATCTTATTCGGCCTGGCCAACTTTTCATTAATTTGGAGAAAGCGTAACTTCTCGTTTTGTTTGAGTGGTATGTTTTATTTTTTATTTAAATTCTTTTTATTTTCGTCTTAGTTATTTTTTAACCTTATAACTGTATTTTTACATTAGTAGCTGATCTTAACATCTTAACATCTTAACAGGACAAAATTGTATTCTTGTATATGTAGCTTTGTGTTAATTCATATATATTTCATCCGGTATTATAGAAGTCGATTTTATTTGTCATTTTCAGCTATTATAAGAATTTTTATTTGGAGTAAGGATTACTTTTTAGTCTAGGAATGATTTCATATATTTTGACAGTATCGAGCACGGAGTACGAAAAGCGTAGGAAACTAAACTGTAAAAATTTATACTATACAACGTGCCGAACTTAATTAAACGTAATTTAGTTGGGAAAAGAATTTTTATTTGATTTGGTTGTATGATATGTAAGTTAACTTGTAGTCTCTTTTTTAAATAGTTTATATCTTTAAACTTTAAAGAAAAACTTAATGTTCAGTAGATTTAAAAGTGGGAAATCTTTCGGCATTGATTTTTTTTGTGATTAAACTTACTTAAAATTAATTTTTATTATCTTAACAAGTACTAAAACCTATCTAGAATATTTTACAAAAATCTAACATTTTTAAATACAAAATCCCAAAAATTAAGTTTTAACCACATCCTTTAATGACTAATTCACTAGGTGATAAACTCATATGCTTAATAACTTTTAAGCTTTTATTCAAATATATTTACTGTTGTTATCCTGCATTAGTTTAACGGTTTAAATTTCCATTTTGACTAATCAGACATACGCATTTTTTGTATTTATCTTATCTTTTGGATATTAACTTTTATTTAATTATTTAGTTCAGTTTTAAATTATATATGGAGTTCTTGACAGATATGGATGAGTGATGAAGTTTTTTTTAGACCGAAAGTTCATTGAATATAATTTTTACCATTAATATAGAAATAGAATATCCCAGATAAAATAATATAATTTATTGAACTTTTTAAATTGTCAGGAGGCAAATTATTTATTTGTTTAACAAAAAAAAATTTGTTAAATCTTGACCCATTTCAAAGAAAAATAAATATTGTCAACTTTATCTGGCAATAAAAAATGCTATGGTTAAACGCAAATCAGTTTTGTTCTTCTAAAATGATTAATACATTTATGTCGATTTTGTCTTTTTGATGGCTCATTATCGGCTAACAATTCCATAATCGGTAAAATGATGGCCGCCGTGAAATATGGAATTGGTAATATGGAACTGGGGAGTATGGAGTCCAAACATCCACTTGCCGACGGCAAAACAATCATGGCCGAGTTTATATCGGAACGCGGCAACAACAAATCACACGCACTCACACACACACATGCAGGCTATTACTCACACGCATACAACCGCAATTTCCCTCTCGCTCTCTCACAGCTGTTGTTGAGCGGCCAGAGCAACAACAACGCAACTTGGCCGACTTTTCGCTGCCTCCGCCTCTGCGAGCGTCGCTGCCAGCGTCGTAAACAGGGAGGAGTCCGCAACAGACGCACACTCACACAGCACACAAGATGGATGGCGGCGCAAAAAGAGAGCGAGAGTGCAAGCGAGATGGCAAGATGCGGCCGCGTTAAGTGTGACGAATGTGCCATTATTTTGCTTTATGTGTGTCGTGAGCGCACCACGCTGCTCTTTTTTCAATTGCGATTTCTCACATAAATTTACGCAGCCGTCGGACGCGGACGTTGGCAGCGCTGTCGACGTCGCTGTCAACGGAGGCAGCGTAGAGCGCTCCGGTTGGGAATTCGCCTCTTTGAGTGCGGAGAATTCACTTGGCGAGGCAGTGCTGAGAATTCCAGTTGGAACTGTATGTTTGCCAGCGGCAAAATTATTGCCGGATTTTCGATGGGTTTTTTTTTAATGTTAGAGATATGGTTTTGTATGTTGTTTTTCTATGTTTGTTTTTGTTTATAGATTTTAAAATCATGTCTTTTTTTAAGTTAATATGTTTTTAAAATGATAATGTTTTCATTACTGCTTAATTCCTTTTAATAGCTTGTCTTTTGTCTTTATGGGAAACTTTGTTAAGGATATATTTTACATTTTATCGGTTATGAAACATTTGCTACGAAATATTAAAAGTTCCTTCGTTTCTAAGTTTTTAATTAGCGTACATCAATATGTATATATTGAACACAAATCATATTTTTTACTAGGGTGTTATAACATGTAATATTATTATTATCATAATTTAATTTTTGAAACAGTCAGGGACATATGTAAAACGGAAATTAACTTTTGTACTTGTTTTTATATGTGACCTACGATAATTTGGGTCGAATAATCTTTCATATTTTTAAAAATATCATTTTTGTTCAAACTCTAAAAACTTTGCTCAGCGAAAGCTTAAAATTATCTAGAATAAAATATAAAAAATACTTGAGAGTGGGCATTTGATTTTACCACAAAACAAAAACAAAAAAAAAACGTTTTTACATACTTTTTTTTATTATTAAAAATATTGTTATTTTTAATTCATATTTCATTACTTTTTTATTCAAACTCGATATTTAAATTATTCGTTAAAAAAACATTCGAAATTATTCTGTTAAAAGTGCATTTTTTTAAATGATTCTTTTTATATATAATAAGACCACTCATAATGTAATCCATAAAGAGTAATCAAATTAAGAAAATTATTTTGAGAATTTACCTTTGATATTTAAAAGTTGTGCCGGCCCCCAAAAATTTTACACTCAATTATGTGCCGGCAATAAATATCCAGAAAACGGATGAATCGGTTTTAAAAGCATACTTGGCGCCCCACTCCGGCACCCACCCATTCCAATTGGGATTGGTAACAGCTCCGCTTTCCCCCTCCCCTCTCTCCAGAAAGAGGGGTCCCATGGTTGCTGTCCGTACGCATCGCTGCTCTTTGACAACTGTGCGACTCTAAATCATTCAATTCGGGTCCAGGATCAGACCCAGACCCGGTCTCAGCTGGAATCGAGTGCCCGCCGGTGTCTCCTTGCGCCTGGGTCCTTTATCCCTCCCGTTCCCCGTTCCCCGTGAGTTGGAGTTGGGGTTGGTGTTTGTGTGTGGCGTTCACCTTGGAAAATATTTTCACATGCCCCCGCCACAGACAACTCGCCCCAAAAGCCTGCGTTTCCGCTCCAGCAAACTGCAGCAACAACTAAAATAACAAGTACCCTCTAATAAGTAATATGTAACACGTAACAAATATCAGAATTATCTATTTTTAACTTTTACCAATTCAATTAGTACTGCATTTTCTAGACTCATATCAAACATCGTAACTAACTTATTGGCTAGTTTTTAGAGTACACTGTTAAAACATAAATGAGAGCAAAAATAAAAATTGTCCTTAAATATAATAAAAAAAACATTATTTCCTTTTAAATTTGTTTTAAAACAACAAAATCTAATGATCTTTCCTAATTTGTCTTTAAAACTCTCAAATACATTTTTTCTGTTCCATAAATATTTTATGCATTTTACGAAAATATTCCATCCCCAAAACACCTTCATAGCACATTTTTAAGGGGTATTACCCCTCTGCAACAACAACTGGCAGAGGACAGCGCGCGTGCCGTTCAGCTGGATGGGAGACTTCAAAAACCAGGTCCCCTATACCTTCCGATTCCCGGTTCCCGGTTCCTGGCTCTGTGCCTCGAGCAATTCCAGCAAATAAGTCAACCTGCGCCGGCAACAACAAGAGCAGCAGTCCCCCCAAAAGTGATCGATGAAGTTGCCCGCCAAATTTACGACGTGAAACTTTGAATTGTTTCGCATGTCGCTTCGATTTTGCCATCTGCCAAAAGGAACTTCCCAACCCCGACAGTATATCTCTGCACCACCTTTCCTGTACCGTCGAACCAAAGGCAAGTGAACCGAAAGCGAACCTTCACCTTCCATTTCTTTGTTTTTTAACTTTTGCCAGGTCTTTTTTATTTGCAAATTTGGTTTGTTTTATTCAAGCGTAATACAATTTCAAACAATGTCTTGTGTAAATAAATTATTTAACACAAATGTGGCTTTTATTTAAAGAACTTAGCGACCGAAATCTTTGGATAACTTACCACCGTTAAAATATACCATAACTAGTTTATAAAAATATGAGGAAACATCTTTTTAAAAATGTTTAAAAATTAAATGTTGGATATATTTAAAAGTTATATATAGAATTTTAGTCAGTTGGAATAATTAAAAAACCAGTTTGTTTCTCTGAAAAATTGAATCAAAATAATATTTAAGACCATTTTTCTCTGTATCACTGTATCGACACATTTGTCTATAAATTCAAAATTATCATTACAAAATAAGGTTTCATGTAAATAAATAATTAGTTTATCTCTGAAGCTCGGAAAAGGACCTAATACGGCATTTATTTGTTATACATTATCAAGTGACTGTCTAACATAGTTGTGACTTATTTAAATAGCAATAAATTGTCAGCGATAATTATAATCACACTGATGGATTGAATTCCGAAACTATAAAACAAGTCTT